AAATATGTACATTTCTAATTTATTAACTTAAAATTAAGGGATAAAGAATATGCCTATATTAGAAGTTGATGGACTAAAAACATATATATTTAGATAAATTTAATGGAGTAACTAATGAAAAAAACAAAAATATATATATATCATAGTTAAGGGATCATAAAATATATATATTTCATAGTTAATAGATTAAAAAAGTATATAAAAAATTAAGAAATAAAAATTATATAAAATATTAAAGTTGAGGGACCAAAATTGAGATTTAACCTTTTATTTTTATTTTTTTAGGGGGAATTTATGTAGGCCCAAAATTTCTACTAAAACAAAATTATAATCTCTCTATTTCTTATTGTTACATTTTACTCCCACTAGGGGCACGTGGACTGTTCCTTAGAAAATAATAAAAGTTAGACCACCTTTCTTTTTCAAATCTTTCTCCTGAGTGTATTAACAATTACAATTAAGAATTTGTTATTTTACACTTCATGCTATAAAATACTTTTTTATACAATTAAATAATAACTCAGTGATAGTTTCTTTTAAGTAAAAGTAAAAGATGTTTCGTTTAACGTTTTAACAATATGCCATGTAAGGACAAAGGTAAGTAAAAAAAAATGAAATATGATTAATTGTTATCATGCAACTCAAAAATTAAAAAATATATATTAAAACAAACTTTTCTACTCTAAAAGTTAAGGAAGCCCATTAGCCTTCTAAAAATATTTTTTTTAAAAATTTTTGTTAAAATTTGCCTCCCCCTCCAAAAATGCTATTCAAAAGTATTTTCTCTTGAAGTTACAATTACATCAAACAAGTATTGTGCTTTGCCAATTTTCCTCCATCAGTTTTCCATTTTTTTTCCTCTTGAAGTATTTTTTTGCGTATCTACTCTCCACTTTCTATAAGTTCCCACTTCACTTCTGTTTCTGGCGCACATGTTTCTCCAACTCTTGCTCTTGTTCATGCTTAAGAAATTTTTGTAGGACCCAAAATTTTGAGCTTTTTACCCAATTGGATTTCTCTCTTGTTCACCATCTCTAAAGTCTGGATTGTTTTCAGGCGTTGTTTCTCCCTTTTGTGCATAGGCTTGTTCTAGCTGCATGCTGCCAAGTGCACAACAGGCCTACTCTGGCCCACACTAAACATGGGCTGAGGTTATGGAAGTCCACCAAGAAAGTGGAAAACTACTTTGCTTTGGCCCCAACTTTTCCTTCTTCTAAGATGTGACAAACTTTGGAATAGACAAGGGCTACTTTATCCAATTTCAATATATTTTGTAACTTTCCTATCTGATGCTATCCTTAAAGTTGCATGTAATTAGTTTGATGGATTTTATCATTAGCAATCATAATTTTTGTAACTTCCTATTCTTTCCTATTTTAGGTTTCGAAAAATGAAGTGATACTATCTTCACACCTTCATACACAATGGGATTTTCTACTACAGGCAAAGTTGTGCGTGGTTTGTCCTCCCCTCGCCCCCCGCCCCCTTTTTTTCTTTTTCAACAAGATAAAAATTTAATACTTGAAGTTAATTCAACCCTACTTATTATTTACTTAAAGTTAACACGTGACTTAACTTCGTTAGTTAGATATTCTCATTCTTTATTCAACACATGGAGAAAAGCATGTGATTTGGGATCTTTCTTTTCATCCAAGCCCCTAAATTTATTTGCCATGATGTGTAAACTTTTATTTTGTCATGTAACATTTGCATGGGATGCTTAAGCAGTTTGTAAGTATTATTACTAAGACAAGGGAAGGAATTAGAAAGCTCACCAAAGCATTTGTCATATATATAGCTATCCACCAACACCTATTGGTTCAAGTGGAAGGAGCTCGGTTCCCTTTAAACAAAATCTCAAGTTTGAGTCTTGTAAATAGAGAAATAGGCAATGAGAGGAGATTCTCCCTTATGGGGTCTGACGCAGCTCAACTTTGGATTAATTGAGATTCAATATGACTTTCATATACCAAGGGATTAGTATCAAAATATATATAGCTATCCCATATGTACTTACGTATTTAGTAGAGTAGAGAATCATTCTATTGATATAGTTTTCTTTTTTACTTTTATAATTGATAAGAAAGGGATCTAATACTTGAAGTTAATGTGACTCTACTTGTTTTTCACTAAAGTTAACATGAGACTTAACTTTGTTAGTTAGATATTCTCATTCTTTACTTAACATATGGAAAAAAGCACATACATATCTATAAGAGTTTTTTAACTTCAAATTAGTATTAAAAATAACATAATTCAAATTCAAATAAAAAACTAACAAATCTTAAATAAAACTTGTTAAGATTCTATGGGCGGCATTTATTTGTATAATTACATAGAGCTATCTAAATTTCGGAGCTTAAACATATCATGTACAGTGAGTTTTATTGAAAGTTCTCACGCGCTCTCTTGAAGAATAATCCTCAAAGTTCAGGTCAATATCCTTTTCTGATTGGGAAATCAATTTGGATGCATTTTTTACCCTTTTTTTCTTTTCTAATTTGCACTTTTAATTTTTCTAATGCATTTGTGTGTTGAAGCAAAGAATAGGAATATGTAAGTAACAATATTGATTTTAACTTTTAGTGTTAACTTTGGAATAACTTAAAGTAGTCCCAATCTTTTGATTCATGTATGCATATATATATATATATATATGATCTTGTCACCCCTGAAGCTCATCAAGCTATAACAAAAAAGAAAAAAGAAAAACACTCTTCTTTCTCAGCTACCTACAAAGGTACTGTGTACGTATTAAAGATTGCCAAAAGGTCATTAGCTTTCAAGTTCATTGCCCAGAGATCTCGGAGATGGCTGAGAGGTAAGTCCACCGCTAGCTTATTCTTGATTATATAGTTAAAAGAGTTTCAATTGCTATGATATATCACAGGCATATCAGATTTTAAATTAACTAAATGTGTGTTTTTGTCATTGGATATGTATAAGCAAGCTATAGTTCGTCCTTGAATAGTTGAGAGAAATTTTTTTGGTTACAAAACCTGAAGCTGTGGGTCAAATGCAATCTTCTGAAAAAGACTCATTACCTTTTTTTTTTTTAATTTAATTTCAGATTTTGATATTAGTATATAAGAATTCATGATCTACCACTTTCCACGGAACCAACAACATTTTTTTTTCAATTTCTTTTACACATAATTTGCTTTTGTTTGGATCTGGTTTCATAAGGAAAAAAAATTTGCTTTTGTTTCTTGGAAAAGGATATTTGTATATAAGATTCATATTTTACACTTTAAACTACATGTTAAAAGTGTAATTTGATCAGTAAAAATATTAAAGTACTTTTAATAAAATAACATAATAAATAATTTGTTTAAGGGTGTTTTAAAAATTCATATATCAAACTATACTTTATACATATATATGTTTGAAAAGGGTATCCTTATATTTTTTTAGTGCAATTTGTTTATTTATTTATTTTATTTATAAACAGCAGGAAGTCAAACTCAGTTGTGAGTTCATTTCCAATATTGCTGATGGAAGCGTGGCAGAAATGGGATGTGAGGGGAATGGTTCTTTTTAGTCTTACCTTACAAATTGTCCTCTCTGTCTTAGGTAGGCGTAGGAAATACAAAATTAATCCTTTCCTCAAAACCATTCTATGGTTTGCCTACTTAGGTGCTGACTGAATTGCCATTGCTACTTTGGGCAAGCTTTCCGGTTCCTATACAGAATCTCCCGCCACCAATGTCTTAAGAGCATACTGGGCTCCTTTACTCTTGCTACATCTTGGTGGCCCTGACACCATCACAGCTTATTCCTTTGAA